TTAAGTCAAGATTCACCTGGGAGCAATTTACCAATTCAGGACAGATTTAGAAAAAAAGTCTAATGGAAATGTATAGAAATATGCTTGTCATATTATGACAACTTGTTCAACCATTTTGCATTTAACGACTTATACGATGAACTAATGACTAGATGTTTTGAGGGGTAAGACTATTGCACAGTGAACTATATAATACATTTTGATCAACATGACATAAACAACTGATAATGTAGGAAACAGCAGAGAATTGTACATAATCATTTGCATGGATGTACCAAAGCATTTGCAACTTCTTCAGACAAATGAGAAACTGCTTTTTTGATGTGCACAAGTGACACAATGATGTGAAGATTGAACAGGTAGTTTTGAGAATTTCAATTCTGATCTGAGAAATGTACCAAAGTGACTGAGAAAAACTGTAATAAGAAATAACTCACAAATTACACAGTCATTGTTTAGTGGGAATTTTAATGGCCATTTAACAGTGACAGACATTGAGATTTATATTTTTATTTCTTTTTTTGACAAGTTCAAGAGTACAAGCAATGAACAGCAACTAGTGGGCATAAGCATAATATTTAACAATTATATACATACAACCATAGATTAAAAAAAAAATGCAAATGCTAATCATTCCCACTGAGAGATCCTAAAGCCTAAATTGTTCTGTTTCATGAGGTAAAGCATTTGCCAACTACTGTATATTGAAACTGTGTGACATTGTTAAATAACTGAATATAGACTCCATATAGTAAAAGACAAATAAAAATGCAGCAAAAACACAAATGAAGCATAATACATCAGCCTGGGATACAGCATAGTGCATGTCCCTCCAGATTCTGCTACTTTATAAATCACAGACTTATAATAGGCTCAGGGTTTTCTTCCTCTGCATTCTCTATCAGTTTATTGGTGTCCACCACATCAGGCTGAGATCGCTGACTGTCAAAGTAGAGTGGATTTTCAAAGGTGGGTAAAATATGAGGTGACTTCTTGTAGAGGAAGAATGCACCAACTGTCAGTGTACAAGTGATTGTAATGATCAGCGCAACTACCAAACTCGTGTGGAGACGACTGGGTTTATCCTTATGTCCTTCAGGTCCTGCACAGATTCAGCAAACAGTCAAATATTAAATTTAACCTTGAGGAATTTGGATTTTTTTTTACTTTCAGTTTACTAAATAGTTTTTGATAACTGTAAATGTTACATGTAATGCTACATTTTTACAAATTATAAAATTCAAATACAACACAACTTAAGCAGACACAAAGCTGTAACTTACCAGATATTGGATCTGAATCTGTGCGCATCACTGGTGGGAAAGAAGTGAAAATGATGAGATAACTAGTCTTTTTTTAAGGAATATAAATATATAATTTTATAATTTCCCCCTCTACCCCTGTATTCAGGTCTCACAGGAGTAAAACTCTGACCTACTCTACTTTTACAATTCTAGTATATGTACTTTATATTGTAAAATAACCAAGATTCAGATGATCGGAGGATGAATGCTGAATATAGCGGTATGATAATCTTACCTTTTGGTGTTTCACAGATGTATGCTCTGTCATGCCATCTGCGACCTGACCTCCATAGGCCGTCTGAGGCTCCAATCTCTCCGTAGTCATAATTGGGCTCGTCTGGACCCCAATTAGTGTAGTCCATGACTGTGTTATCCAACCAGTTCCAGTTGCCTACAGGGCCAAAAAGAAAATGAGAGTATGGCTATTATGATCACATAGCAGGCAGCATGATGCCACAGTGGCTAGTGCTGCCGCCTTCCAGCAAAAAGGTTCTGGGTTTGAGCCCTGGTCAACCCAGTGCCTTTCTGTGCGAAGTTTGCATGCCTGTGTGGGTTCTCTCTGGTTACTCCCCCCTCCTCAAACAGTCCAAAAGCATGCAGCTTAGGTTGACTGGTGATTAAATTGCCTGTAGGAGTGATTGTGAGTTTGAGTGTCATCCCCCCGTGACCCTCCTCAGGGTAAATAAATTGGACTTACATCCCACCCAATAAGGTCTCTCTTTTGTTTAGTTCACTTTCATCAGCCAAAAATTGATTTTGTTATAGATTTGGTTTTAAGTGCAATTTTTTTTAAATTTGCCTTCTCATGCTGGGGCAAGGTGTGTGATCGTACCTTTATGAGTTTTATACAGGCCAACCCAGAAAGCGCTGTGGCTGTCTTGAAATATTTCCACGTTACTTTTGATGAACATTTGCTCAGAAGGATCTTCAATGCTAGCAAGCTGTCCACCTTCACAAGAACAAACAATAGCTTGGTTGTAACAATTACTAAACACATGTTAGTAGATGCTGTATTCATGAGCACAGTGCTACACAACATACACTCAGTCTACACTTAATATAAAGTTTTCTGTGAATGTGGTGTCTCTTACCATGCCTTACACAGCTTGTAGCTGCATCTGACCATTCAATTTCGTTTGTCATAAATAAATAACAATGGCCCTTAAATGGCAACCAGGACTGACTCAGTTCATACCCCACATTTGCCACATCAGGGCAAACTCCTGGGAAATTGGTTGACTCTGTTGGTGCCACATCTGTGAGCAGACAAAGACAGTGATGATGGGATCGGATATTTACAAAATTTACTCCTGTGACATTCACTTCAGTAAAAAAAAAAAAATTATGCTGAGATTCCTGGATGAGGCCTTTTATGGAAGAAGTAAACTTACATCAAGGCGGGTATAACGTATGAGTAATGATCAAAAGAATGGGATTGAATTCAGGGATGAGTTTGTAGGGCTACATAGTAAATTTTATTCATATATTGCAGGACATCATCAACATACTGTAATACTTACAGCAAAATGAATCATGGTTTAGGGTTAGGTTAACAGGGTACCATCTCACACACAGTATGCCACAGACATAGGACTACAGTCTTTGGCGTACAGAACTACATTATAATCCAGCATTTACGGTATAAACACTTAAACCTACAGAGGATGACAGTTAACGTATATAAAAATGGGTGACACGTCACCACCTTTGCCACTATGTAAAAGTGAAGCCAAAATATTACCAACACAGGGGCTGCCATCTGGCTTTTTTGCAACCAGATTCTGCACAGTAGTGACCAGAGGTGGAGTCATAGTATCATACTGCCAATCAAAGCTGTTAAATAATCCTAAATATGTCCCTTTTCATATTATTAAATAACTTTAAAGCAAATTTATCAGAAAAAACAATCGCTGGTAGACTAATCAGTGTATATAATATATATAATATTTACCTAAAATGTCAGAAATCATCTTTGGGAAAAACTATTTGATTTGTACTTTGAATGTTTCGTTTGATTCATGTTCCATCTGCTAAAATGGAGGTGGTGGAGTTTATGAAATTTTCTGCAACCAGCCACCAGAGGAAGATTGATCTGTGATGGCTACAGTGTGGCTAAGTGAACTGAGCCAGATGTGCCCTGTCGGTACCCAAGGATTTGTGCCGGTTTTGGACAGAAATTTAGAAACTGTGTTCAGGTCCAGGTCAGGTTCTGTCATGTCGGTCAGACTTTAGACTAGATGTCTGGAACATTCAAATGCTTGCTTTGTTTAACGATAAGGGGAATAACAACGTACAAACTCGACTGTGTTGGATTTGGGCATTCTATATTTTAAGCTTGTTGGGTCCGGCTCGGGTTCAGACGTCACACTCTTGGACACAGGTCGGGTTCGGACAGAAATATGCAGCCAGATCCGTGCTCTAGTGGTGGCTTCACTTCTGTTACGTCACCCGTCTTTATATATACTGTACAGTCTATCAACTGTATTCATTTACACTGCCTGCTCATTAACATACCTGTAGACTGCATACAAACACTGCTCATGGTCCGATTGCAGAAAGCAGTCCTCCATTCTCCATCTATGTCCATATACACACAAGGTTGATCTGTGTTTGGTTCACCTTCAGCCCAGGCAGCAAAGTTCAGTTGCCAACCATCAATGAACTTAAAATAACCTCCAGTCTGAAAGCAAATACAACCAATACTTTTACAATAAAATAACATTTTTTTCTATTACTCAGCATGTTGCTGCTGCTACAGCTTTTTTAAGATGTATAGTTCGCCATACAGATACAGTAGATTAAACAGATGTGCACTTTTTAGAATAATGCCTTTAGTATTGTATACAAGTAGATTGTCATCTGCCTTGTAAGAGTTCTGTAATGGATCAAAGCTAATTTTCACAGCGATCTGCTTAAGGTGGAAATGCTTCTTTGTACTCATCTTAGTACAATAATTCCAGATGGTTTTGTACCTGTTTTTTGTTCAGTCCAATCCATACAGGAGCTTTGAGGTTCATAACCAGCAGCTCAAGATAGGCCTGTGTCCACTCATTTCGAAGACTGGCCAGGTTAGCTTTATCACCTTCACATTGTTTTTTTGCATCATCCCAGGTCAGATTTTGAGTCACAACCTTGATGCTGTCATTTCCCAGAGACACATAGATGTTTGGAATAGGTGGCTCTGGTTGAGGTTGGGTGTTTGGGTCTGTTGAGAGCAAGACAAAAATCAAATGAGGGATCAATCTTTTTTCTTTTTTCATTACTAAAGGGATCACTGTTTACTGTATGTCAAAGGGAATTAGCTTAATATTGTATGTTTAGCCCCTTATTTATACAGTTCCCAAACCATGTTTTGTTTACCAAGACCACTCTACTGTCTTGAATGCAACTGTAATATATACTGATATTTGGGCAGAATGGTGCTGTACACCAATTGGATATTGACGCTTTAATGTAAGTTATTTAAACAAGGAAGTGTAGAGTTCCTTTTTAAATTTCCTTCCTTTTTAATTTTTAGAAGACGAAAAGGATGAACTCACCAAGATTTCGATGACAGACAAATCCATTGGTGTCATTGCAAGACTTAGTCAGCCATTTACCAATTCCAGTGGTAGGGCTGCTGCCCATCACGACACAGTCTTCCTGATGCAGGACAGTGGGAAAGGATAGGTTTCAAAATCTTTTCATTATGACATTAAAATTTAAAATTACGAGTGTCTTTTATCTGCTCTGTGTCATGACAAAAACTAACTACAAGCAGTATTTTACTTTAGTCAGTCTCGGAAAGGTTACCTCATTCCACGCCTGATAAAATGACCCTGGACGACGTCGATGTTTCTAAAGAGCAGAACCAGATTCTTAAAATCTGTATATTAACAAATAATATCTCAAACATTTCTATCAAACAGTAGTTCAGTACCAAGCTAAAAAGCTGCTTCACTGCCCTGTTTGGTTGAAAATCTGCTTGAAATTTGATCACATCCAGTGACACTAACATGTGTGGGCACCTGTCCTCTCACACCTGTAACATCTACAACTACTGCAGCAAGATGATTGGATTTCAGCAAAAACGCAATTTATAGCTGCTATCAAGTTGCTTTTTAATTTTGCTCTTAATTTGCTTGATATTACATTTACTTATACATTTATTTTGTGTACTTACAGAATAGCCCCAGTTGGTGTATCGCCTTGGTTTTCCATCGGTCCAGTAAAATCCATCTTGTTGTACACTATTTAAACCAATCCACAGGTCTGTGGCTGCTGCTTTAGCCATTTGAATGATCAAAAATGCTGAAAATATCAGTGGTAGAAAACAAGTAATATGCAATTTTTTGCATACTTTGCAACATATTTCCAAAGATTTAACATTGATTGTTTTGCAAAATAGAAATACTTGTGCTATTGTTTCCAAGATCAGGAATGAACGTTCACAATCTATATTTATATCATACACATTATAAATAATATTTATGCAAAACAGTAGAACAAACCTTGCACACGCCTTGTGGGTATAGAGACTAAACTGCCTCCAATGTCAGAGCACTTAGTCCTTGCCTGTTCCCAGGTAACCTTCTGGCTCTTGATACTGTAACACTTTAGACAGATAAAATAAATTTTCACTCAACAGTCAAACACATTTATATTTATGTATACACTCACCAGCCACTTTATTAGGTACACCTGTACATGTAATTCAGTGCAACACTTCTGCCTTAACATCTGTGATTATGAAGCTCAAAATGTTCCAGTTTTTGGTGAAATTGTCATAAATGTGGTGTATTAGGTGTTCCTAATATTCTGACCCTCTCATGTATGAAGCTGTGGAGGACAAAAATATAGACACCTCTGAATATAATGTAGTCCAGTACACCACCACCTTTAACTATGACCTCAATAATAAACATATGATTGAATTTTTACATTTATGACAATTTCACCAAAAACTGAAACATTTTGAGCTTCATAAACAGACATTAACGTGGAAGTGTTGCACTGAAGTGCATACATTGTACAGGTGTACCTAATAAAGTGGTCAGTGAGTTTATATGAGAAATTGAACTGGATAATGTGTGTAGAATGTGTGACTGTTGCATTAAACCTATTGATACAGCAAATACATTATATGTGCTGCTTTTTCTGAAAACATCACTTTCTCTTGCACATAAATAAATGTGCAGGGTTTTTGAATGTAACCGTGTCAAGCCGTCTTTTTTCTCTACACCAAGACGTGCATAACTTATGACATGTCACACTGTGTGTAAAAACAGGATAGGTGGTGTGGCATATTGTAACTTTGAAAGATGAGTCATTCTCCCTTAAGTTAGATCTTGGTAACAGTTTTTTCAAACACATCTGGACAAATCCTTTTACCTCCAAAGTTTTGTTTATGAGAATAATTGCAGATCAGACCAGTCCCACATGATAAAGAATAACTAAATGCTTGCAATCTGACATTTAAATAGTAGTAGAGAAGGTAGTGATTTCTGACCTTTGAGTCAAATTTTGTCCAGGTGCGTGGGCAGCCACCTTTAGGAGGAGCTGTGGGGGCTGCAGTGGTGTTGGTGGGTGGTGAGTGGCCTCGTTTACAAATAGACTGGTGCTCTTGGCCACAATTACAATTACGCCAGAAACCTAATGAGCACAGCAGAGTTAGTAACATTTCACCACCAGCATGTTTTATATTTTTTAATTAGAACAATATGTTAATGCTATTCAGAACGTCTTATCTAGGTTTCATACTTTGTCACACTTGTCATTTTTCAATTCATCAGTGCGTATCATTCTTTAGATTACTTACCCATATAATAAGTCATAGTAACACAGTTGTCAGAAAAGCTATTAGTATTAGGTTGATTTTCATCCCATCTTTGCAGTGACACTTGAGAACCATCCAACCACCTTGAAGCACACACAGTTAAAGTGAATTAAAATGTGTAATCAGTTATAACCACATGACATTAGACCTTTTTCTCCACCTTGTTGCATGGAAGATAAACAGAATACAGATAAATGTCAAGTTGACAACAGTGTAGCAAGACAAAGAAAAGACTAAACTCAAGAAAATGTGCTACTGAAGTCAAAGTGAAGCATTAAAATGGCTTAAACAGGTTTATAAGTGGAAGGAGTGAGTTGGTTGAACCTTGGGTGAGTTAGTGATTAAATTAACGGTTAAGTCTTTTTTCACTAATGGCTATTTACCTAACCAAGATTAAAAAAAAAAAATGTGTATTGCGCTACAAACCTCCACACCCAAGCAAAAAAGAAAGAAAGAAAAGAAACAGTTACCAAGATCTGCTCTTAAATGCCTTAATAGTAATTGTAACAAGTCAAATGTGATATTGGGAACTAACTAACCCCACCCTTCATATAGAACTGCACTGTTAGCTAGTGGTTAGCCAGCAGGGAGGAAATATTGTAGTAGTAGGTGTGCAACATGCTTTATGGGACAAACTTTAAGGCTTTGGTATCATCTGCCCATGTCTAGAAATAGGCCCTAAATCACATTACTTAAACTAAAGATGTTCTAACAGATATAGCAGCTTTATGTGATTTATAATGACATACCAATAATGTGTCTGTAGCATGAAACCATTCGGGAACTCCATACAGGCCTGCATAGTAAATGGCTACAACAGGTATTATGAACGCCATTTTGGCTGATATTATAGAAATGAGTCAATGATACTATGATGGAACCAATGTATAAAACAACAATCTAAGCATTTTAATATATGCATGTTCAACATAATATTTTTAGAGACATTCTGGAGCTATTTTAATGAGGCTTTGTAATGTAGCTGGGCAATCTGCTGGTGATGCGCATTATTGTGTTTTGTGTCATAAGCCAAAATCACTTTTATTAATCAACCACAAATTTGGTACACACATTATAGACATGCTGAAGGATAGATAGATGTGGATTTCAGTCTTTTATCCCATATTATGACTGTAGTTGAAAGATAGCACTGCAAAGACAAAAAACCAGAAAGTGTCTATCTCTTTTCTGTTTAAAGCTTCATCAGTGTACCTGTGGAAGTACTAGGAATAAGAAAATATTCAAATTTTAACTCCTGAGTATTGTCTTTGCAATGATACCAAGGACATGCAAAAATGGTCTAAAGAGGTTTGGAATTACAAACACTTAAATTTGGCATAAAAAATACAGGTGAAAATGCACTTCACTTTAAGGGGTTAAAAATAGTAATCAGTAGGAAATTTCACTTCAAATTACTTAATTATGTCTTATGGCATTCTCTGATACTCACCACTGTGACCCATCAAGATCCACTGATAAACCTAAATAATAGGCCCCGTAGCTTCTGGAAATCTGTAAAAGGAAACAATAAAACACACAGAAAAACACATACGCTTTAATTCCTGCTCTTCTACTCAATAAACTTTCTATCAGTATGGGTTAAATTTGAACGTGCTAACTGAAAACCAATAAATAAATAAATAAAACCCCACCTGTTTCCACAAGAAGATATTTTCCTCTTTACTGTTGATAGTGACCAAGTCACCATGCCTCTGCTGACAGAAGTGACGAGCCTCCTCCATGGCCATTGACATGCTGTTAATATAATACTGACTCCCTCTCCACTCAATCCAACCCTCTGAAGTGGTATTATAATCTGTAAAAATGTTATAAACATATTGATTTTTTGAGTTTTGACAACTTATTTTAAGTTTATTTCTTTTGTAGGACATCTTTTACGAGATAGACTGTTAATGTAATACTGCTTCTGTGTAATGAAGTTAAACAAAATATTTGAAGATCGGCAATAGGAAATTATGGCAGGCATGTTTCATTTTCCGATGTTTTTAATCAAAACAGTGAATTGATTCACTTCAAAAAGGTATCTGCAGTGTGACATGTGACTTGAAACTCTACTCAGTCTATGCAGCTGTCACTAGTTTCCACATATGTTGCACTTTACATTTATTGTCACTCTGGGTGTGTGTGTTTGATTATACAGTACAGTGACAACTTACCTGGTGCGGTTGCATTTGGAGGTGGTTTTGGAGTCACTCCTATAAGAATGCAAACAATTGTCAATTTTGTTCAAAAGAATACAGTACTAGGACAGTAAACAAGTCTGTCTTTCTCCCACTCTGTACTCTCTCTCTATATATATTTTTAATTCCACATAAATCATTCCTTGTATTGTGTATGTGGGTATAGTATTTTGGTATCCTTTCTCTCACTGGATTATTACATATTTGATATATACTTTAAAATGTATGTTCTGTACTGTATCAAGTCCTATGATCTGTTTAATCCCTTTCAGTAATTAATGATTTCCGTAGATTGTTCTGGGCTAATTATTCTCTTGTGTTAATAATCTCTTTGTAGAAATGTTTTTGTTTGTGCTTTTTCTTTACTGTCACTTTAGTAAAATATCACATTTCACTGAATCTTCTTGCCTCTTATCAAGTTAGTTTTTCCTCACTGAAGGTAAAAAATAATTTCTCTTCAGACGGGACAAAACATAAGCATTCAGTACACTTTCTTCAACTGTACCTGCACGGATTTGACATAACCAGTCATTGTAACTCTCGCAGTTCATATCGTTCCAAGACCCATACTCATGTGAGTTATACATTTTTATTTCAGCACAAGATTCTGCATTATTGAAATTGTTTGGTTCTCCTTCCTCCCAGTGCTGGAAGTTTAGCTGTGATAAAAAAAAGCAAACAGACATCTTTTATAATAAATATTTAATGTGTGTGTATATATACCATTTGGGTTGTCAAACACACAAACTAACCGGGGAGCCGTCACTCCATGCATAGCCAGTGCTTGATTCAGGAATATGAAGTCCAATCCAGGCTTTTCCACGGCTGCAAAAAAAAAAAAAAGTATAAATTATTTAACCAGCCTGCCTTATTTTAAAATACTTAAACAAAGAGCTTTCACTAACTTTGACACGCTTTCCTATTCAATTCAGTGAGAAAGTGTGTCCAGCTAAAATATCAAACATTCTGCATGTTGACACCCTCTAGAAGGCAGATTAAGTGATGCAACTACAGCGAAGATGGTGGAGTTGATTCAGCTATTGTAAACAAGAGGTGCAAGCTAAGTAAGTGTGATATTCACTACTGGATTAATGCTTTATATTTCAGTGTTATTGTGTTAAAGATTAAGTTAAAGTTGAGTTAGACCAGCTCATACTTTCCCACTAGCTGCTCAACACTGCTGTGGATGCTGAGCAGATCTCCTCCAATGGCCCTGCAGTAATCCCTGGCCTCAAACCAGGTCTTCTCACCTGCACGAGGCCCTGTAAAAAACTTAGAGAGGAGAAGTGTAGGCAGGATTAAAGTACACCAGACATGTATGGAAGAGTAAATGATTTGAATAGAATTTGATTTTAATTTTCATAAAGAAAAATATTTGTGACTTGTTTTTAGACCTAGAATAACTGAGGTTTTTGTCGCACGAGGGCATCAGAAACAAGCTGTGAATACAGAACTGACATAAGAGTACAGTAGTAGTACTTTCAGGTAGCGTAGCACACCAATACGTCCATCACAATTATAATGGTACAGAATTTTTTTCCATATTTGGTCTGTTAAACTACCGTCAGTCAAAGAAATACCACCTGCACAGTAACTGCTAGCCCCGAAATTATTCAGATAGGATGCTTTGGTCCATTTGATTGTTTCATTGATGTTATTTTAAATAGCCTTCTGCCTTTGTGATGTGCGTATAATTGCTTTTTCCTCAATGCATTATTTGGATTGTTTGCGCTTGCCTAACTAATCATGTTTGATATCTTACAGTGGTTGTGGCAGGACAATAGCCAGCTTGAGTGCCTCTTTTCATTTTTTGGATATTAGTAGATAACCTAATTTAATTGTGCTTAACTGAAGATGAGCTCTGGTTGTACCTTAGCACAGATGTTTCTTGATAACACTCGAACCCAACCGTCTGCACACTTTGGAGGAGCTGGAGTTGGTGGTGGAACAGTTACAACTGCCCCCTCTGCCTGGTGTTTGCAAATGTATTTCTCCTTATTGGTGCAGGGTAGCAGATCCCAGAGCCCAGCAAAAATCCCAGTTTTTATGGCAGCACAACCCTGCTGGTGACCTTGTGTTGTTGAGGGTAAAAGAGTTGAATGTAAATATTGATGTTGCTTTTTTACCTAATATCTAAAGATGGCATTTCATATTTGTCCAAACCTGGCATTAGGGCATTCCAGTGAGTAAACCTCACTGAGTCCGTGTTGGTCCACACAAACTGATCAATGTCTTTCTGGTTTGACAGCCCAAGCCAGAAGAATTTCTCTGGCCTCAGGCCTACCAAGCTGATGAGGAATGCATTATCCACCCTGGAAATATTTACACAAGTTCATAGATTTCTTGTCTGACTGAATTGTGTGAACAACACATGCACGCAGAGTTTTTAGTGTTAACATCACATAACCTATAAAAACATGACATTTTCTTACCCATTTGAAACATCAGCTAAGTAGGAGTCTGCGCTCTTACAGGCATCTTTAGCTTCATCAAACGTTTTTGTCTCAGGTCCCACAAAGTAGCAGTAGGATCCATGTCTTTTCCAACCCTGTAGGAAATTGAGGAGTATGCTTTAAAATGCAAAATTTTTGTTTTGTTATAAAAAACCTATGATCTGCAGTTCACCAATTAATATTTTTGAAATTCAGAGTACAATTGTGTCAGTATTTATTTATTTACTTCATTATTCAAATCTACAGTGCATGGATCTTCAAATGAGAGATGACTTAGAGTTGAATGAACCAGATGCTTTTCAAAGTTAATTTGTGGGTTTGAATCATACACCCTGATGAGCCAGATGTTCCAGATGAAGTCCTGATACTTTTTTCATAGATTAGGAAACATCATAGTAAATGACACTCACATCTTTGCAGCCTATGTCTGTTGCCAGAACTGTTTCATCTCCAGTGCGTTCAGTTTCACTTTGCTTCATGCAGATGAATCCATGTTGCTCATCACATGTGCGATCCGCCCAGTTCCCACTCTGAAAGACAGGACGATTGTAAAACACTTCCATATTTATAGATCGGATGTACTGGATGAATAGTGTACACATACTTTAACCTCATTGGTTAATGTTTTTCCTTTCCTTAAATATGTTGGTAAACACTGAATAGGTGAGGAAAAAACCTAATTCAAGAAACTTTTATTATACTTTTTTTTTTTTTCTTGGATTGTTGGGTTGTTGTTGGCCTTTGGATTTTCTGATGTTTTATTCACTGTTTAATGAGCAAAAACTTATCACACACATAAAAATCTGTGCGTAGTTACAACCACTTGTAGATTTACATTAAAACTATTTGGAAATAGCTAAACATTAATGGATTCTATAGATGTTCTTGATGTGTTCATATACACAAGTCAAGATCAGATCTGTGCATATAAAAATGTTATGAATAGGGCACACTTGTTTCAGTTTTTGTTTTGTTGATGATGCAAGCTGACACCTTTTTCATGTATGACTTGTCCAGATACACAAGTATGTATAGAGGAAGGATACAGTATATGTGCACCATCATATCTACATGGTGCTCTTTACCTCCCCTCTCATGAGAACACAGTCTTCTGCATCAGTGGAGACAGCAGGTTTCCCATACTCCCAGCTGGTGAAGCTGACAGTAGAATGGTCACTCCAGTCAAACAGCCCCTCTGTCTTCCTGTCATTCATTCCGATCCAAAGCTCATCAGTGGATGCTGCAGACAGGGGACAGTGAAGCGTGTACCGTACCTCAGATGAAGCAGTGACTGACATTACACTGTTAACAGGCTCTTTATACAGAAAGTAATGCACTTATTGGTATCCTACCATCTGTGCATTGGTAAACATGGGCCAGTGGTATAATTAAATCTGTCAGCAGGTATTGTATAAAGTCTATTTTAGCTGGCATGGAGAAACATTTTATTAATATGATGGACAAGCGTATTTATGCCTATATGTTTACTATATTTAAACCACTCCCTAATGTATTTACTGGACTTTTGTAGGTCCCTAAATAGTCAACAATAAGATTGTATACTACATTAACGTGCCAGGTTTCAACTTTGATTTGAGTAGGTTTATGTCAGTATTGAAAGTTAGGTGATGATGATGCTGATCCCCCCACCAAGGGGGATAAATATCTCCGGCTCAACACCATTCAGTTAGAACTGATGAAGCCTCTTGGATGAGAGGTGAAACGTCTTCGACCTAGAAATCTAGTCCAGTTGATTTTTTCCAAGTTTTTTTCAGCTTTTTTTCAAGTTAGGTTTATGTTTTGGACAGACCATGAAGTCAAATAAAATCATAATATCAAATACGTTTGTGGAAAGTCTACGTCTGCCTGAACTTTTCAACACACAGGCATCATTCTTTGGCATTTTGTGTCTTCCCCAGTGATGCTCTGCCAGTCCTTCACTGCAGTGACCTTCAGCTCGTGCTTGTATTGGTACCTCTCTGGCCTTCAGCAGGTGGAATGCAGCACATCTGAGCGGAGATCAGGTGATTGACCCAGCCAGTCAAGAATATTTCACCTTTTCACCCAGAAAAGCTCTGTG